TCTGCAGTTTGAAGCTAGAGATAAATCAGGCCTCACGCCCTCTCCACCTCTTTCAGATCTGCATCCAGTAAGCATCAGCTGGTGTTTGCCTGGCAAGAAAGAGGCTCATGGGAGCCCTGCCCAGGAAGGAAGAGAATTGGGTGTGGCATGATGAGTATAAAGATTTTTCAGCCTGAGTTTATGAGGACTTGCTGGGAGAAATAAATTGCTGATTTATTTGACATTTTGTGAGCTTTCCATTAAATCCCCGAGCATCAATTTTTTTATTTATTGAATCCATACATCACGTCCCAGAAACTACCTTGAAATTTAAAGAATAATACAAAGATAAGAGAGGTAACAATTAGTTTAATGTGACACTTCTTACTTCAATCTTATATTCATTTATTCATCAAATATTTATCTACTTTGTTAGGTGATTGTACTAGGTGTATAGGAAGCATAAAGAAAATGCGCCATGATCCCCTCAGGGATGGAGAGGATGAGAAAGGTTCATAAGGAACCATGCCAAAAAGGAATAAAGTGGTAAAGGGGCGGGTTTACTATACATTCAGAGAAAGAATATAAGAAAAATGTTGGGATTCTCCTGGGCTCAGTCTTATACACAACTACACTCCACTTAACTAATTTTATTTAGTCCTGTGATTTTAAATATTTTTATACCATATATAGGTGTATGTGTGTGTACATATGTCTACATACACACACACCAAATTACATCTCCAGCCCTAACCCTGGAATTCCAGATTAGTACATAAAACTGCCTGCCTGATGGGTCCATCTCTACATCTAACAGCCATGACAAACAGAACCTTTGATTTCCATCTACAACCCCACCCTACACAAACACCCAAACTCTCTTATTCCAGAATTCCTCCCCCAAGTATATGGTCCTATTGTTTTCCCACTGCAAAAGTAAAAATCTTGAGATAATTCTTGATTCTTCCTTCTCTCAACTCACAACACCAATCCCCCAGCAACTCTTGATAGATCTGTTTTTAAAATATAACTACTGAAAACACTATGATGACTCCTCAAAAAATTAAGCAGAATTACCATACAAAATAGAAATTCCAGTTCAGGGTACGTGCCCCAAAGAGTTAAAATCATGGATCTGCACACCAATGTTCATAGCAGCGTTATTCACAGTAGCTAAAAGGTGAAGCAACCCAAGTACCCAGCAGTGTATGGGTGGATAAACAAAACGTGGTGTATATGTTCATGAAATATAATTCATTGTCAAAGGGGAATAAAATCCTGACACATGCTGCAACATGAATGAACCCTGAAGACATTATGTATGTGAAATAAGCCAGACACAAAAGGGCAATTCTTGTATGATTCCAGTTATATGAGGTACTTACAATAGTCAAATTCACAGAGGCAGAAAACAGAATAATGGTTACCAGGGGCTGGAGGGAAGGAGAAATGGTGCTTTCTTGTTTACGGGGCACAGAGTTTTAGTTTGGGGGATAAAACAAAGTTCTGGGGGTGGATAGTGGTAATGGGTGCACAACAGCATGAATGTACTTAATGTACTTTGTCACTTAAATATGACTAAAATGGTAAATTTTATGTTATACATTTTACTACAATAAGAAGTAAATTAATTGGTAACATAAATGCCATTTCCACTGCTGCCACCATCACCTCTCAGCTGAAGTATTGCAATAATATCTTGTTCTTGCATCTCCTCTTGTTCCCTGAAAATCAATTATCCACATGGCAACATCCAGTGGTGTTTATTCCACTATCTCCTCTGCCAAGCACCCTCCATTGGCCCCCAACCCACATGGAATAAAACCTAAACCACTTACCTCCGGCCTTGTGTGCCCCAGATGTGCCTTCATCTCGCCCAGCCTGAGCTACGTCTCATACCGCCTCTCGCTGCCCCTCGCCCTGCTCCAGCCACACTAGCCTCCCTATCTCCTTTGCAAACTGTCCCTCTGCAGTCCTGTTCCCTGGACCTTTGCATGGCTCGCTGCCTCTTGTCATTCATAGCTCAGCTAATGCATCGCCTCCTCCGAGTTCTTTTGTG